AGAGAGAGAGAGAGAGAGAGAGAGAGAGAGAGAGAGAGCGAGAAGAGAGAGAGAGAGAGAAAGAGAGAGAGAGAGAGAGAGAGAGAGCGGGAGAGAGCGAGAGAGAGAGAGAGAGAGCAGAGAGAGAGAGAGAGAGCGGGAGAGAGCGAGGGAGAGCGAGAGAGAGCGAGAGAGAGCGAGTGAGAGCGAGAGAGAGAGAGAGAGAGAGAGAGAGAGAGAGCGAGAGAGAGCGACAGAGAGCGAGAGAGAGCAAGAGAGAGCGAGAGAGCGAAAGAGAGAGAGAGAGAAGAGAGAGAGAGAGAGATAGAGAGAGAGAAAGATAGAGAGAGAGAGAGATAGAGAGAGAGAAGAGAAGAGAAGAGAAGAGAAGAGAAGAGAAGAGAAGAGAGAGAGCGAGAGAGAGAGAGAGGGAGAGTGAGAGAGAGAGGAGAGAGCAGAGAGAGAATAGAGAGAAGAGAGAGAGGAGAGAGAGAGAGAGAGAGAGAGCAGAGATAGAGGCAGAGAGAGAGAGGCACAGAGAGAGAGGCAGAGAGAGAGAGAGGCAGAGAGAGAGAGAGGCAGAGAGAGAGGCAGAGAGAGAGAGAGAGGCAGGGAAAGAGAGGCAGAGACAGAGAGAGGGCAGAGAGAGAGAGAGAGAGAGAGACAGAGAGAGCAGAGAGAGCAGAGAGAGAGGCAGCTCAGGCACACTTGAATCCAGATTCGTCCTCACCGAGTCCCACCACCAAGGGAGCGCCAGCAAGGAGATGCACATATGGGGATCCCCACGCGGTGAATAATTTTTATTAGTATTATCATTATTAGTATTAATACGATTATTATGTACCAAGACACATTTTTCGTCAAACATCGGCCTGTGGGGGGACATGCCTGACCTGATCCCGGGCCCCCTGGGGCCCGAAAGTGGGGTCTGGAGGGCAGGAGCGGAGCGAGAAAGCCGAAGGCCACGACGACAACTAGCTCGATGAGCTACAGTGGGGGCTGGACCTCCTCCTCCTCCTCCTCCTCCTCCTCCTCCTCCTCCTCCTCCTCCTCCTCCTCCTCCCTGTAGCCATTTTGGCTCAAGTCGTGTGTTCCGCCCGCTTTCGGCCGCGCGGGACCGCTTGGGATGGCTGCGGGAGGGGGCTCGACGGCGGCGCTGCGCGGCGCCGCTGGAGCCCGTGCGGCGGCGGATCGCCTAGTCGCGCGGCTGCAGAGGCAGTTGGGGGACGCTGACCGCAAGAGGAAGGAGGCGCAGTTGGCCCTCCAGGTGATCGTCGGGGACGCCGAGGTCGCCGCCTGAGTCCGCTGCCTGTTGTTAGCTCTGGCGGCGCTGGTGGCGGGACGCGCGCTGACGTGGCTGCAGAGGCTGAGGCGCAACGCCGGCCTACATGCAGCCACGCCAGGGGCGCAGCTGGTGTTCGCTGATGCGACGGCGCTCCGCGTGGCCCAGCGCGGGCCGCGTTTGGATGCATCGTGGAGATCTGCGTGGCCGAGGGGCTGAAAGGGCGTTGTCCAGTCTGCAGCGCCCGTCCAAGGCCCCGCAGTGTGGAACACGGCGGCTCCGCCGTTCGTGCCTGGCGCTGCGAAGCATCCTGTTCGGCTGGTCGCTGATGTCGACGAACTGTTGGCGGTGTTGGACCCGCTGGCGGTAGCCGAGGGCGTAGGCGACGGGAAGGACTACCACGCCGTCGCTGAGTCCGACGGCGTCTTGTGTGAGGATAGCGCGATCGAGTCGAAGGAAGTCGAGCCGTGCGAGGAGTACGGCGCGGTGGAGGATCACGAGAATCCGCAGATTCCCGCGGAGACCGAGCATGCTCCTGGGCGTGCTTTCCCGCGGGCAGCCCCTGCCGTCCCGCCGAGGAACGTGGTGGCGCATAGGGGCGTGAACTACCTCAGCCTGCTCAAGGCTGGTCCGCCATTCGACATGGTGGAGGAGCCAGCTGACGGCCCGTGCGACGAGGCTGCCGTGCAGGCGGACGTGGGCTTCAACTTCTGACGAGGCCAGCGGCCGCCGGTGCATGGTCTGGGAGTGCGTGCCGATTGCACGGTCCTGCGTGGTGCACGCCTCGGTCGGCGTGCCGCTGGCCGTGCGCAGCTGAGCTCGTTCCCGTTGTGCTTCTCCCTGAGTGGCACCCTGCTCGTGGTGGTGGAGGTGCTGCTGGGCGAGGTCTTCGCTGGCGGGGGAAGGGCTCCCACAGGCTCGTGTCCTGAGGGCCTCCCCCGAGGCCAAAAGACGCAACGCCGTTGCTCCGCTTGAGTTCTGCTTGAGTCCTCCTCCTCCTCCTCCTCTCTCTCCTCCTCCTCCTCCTCCTCCTCCTCTCTCCTCCTCCTCCTCTTCCTCCCCCCCGCCCTCGGAGCACTGGGGCAGCACTGTGTGGCTCAAACGCCCAGGAAACAAGTCCTTCCTCAGACTACGGTGGGGGCCTGGCCACAAGAAGCCTTCCACAAGAAACCCAACCCTGAGACCCCAGGGCGTCCATCGATTTTTGTTGTGGCATCGTCACGCTTCCCATCGCAGAAACCCGTCGATGCCCAAGGAACCCAGGGCACCCTGGAGGCAAGCAGGGTGCTTCTGGGCAGGCATGGGTCTCCACCGTACTTTTCCAGGGCAGTGCAGGGCGGGGGCAGATCGCCGGCGGCCCCGGCCTGGCTCCCCCCCCCGAGCGGTCTGCTGTCTCGGGCGGCCCGTCCTCTCGAGCCGCCCAGGTACCACATCGTGGAGACGGAGGACGCCGAGGGAGGGGGAGACGACCACGCACCGATGGGGAAGCTCACGGAGGCGGGTCGCGAGTATCTGGAGTCGTTGGGTTCGGGTGAATGCGCCACTTGCAGAGGGGGGCCTCAGAAGTGAAGCGCAACGGTTCGTGCAATCGCTCGTGCGGGATGCACACGTCGTGCAGTATCAGCACGTGGCTGCCACGCGCCATACGCTACAGGACGAACTATCGCACTTGTTTGTCTGCGACCCCACTGCGAAAGACCCCCTTTGCCCAGAGCCACAGTCGGGGGCGGCCCTGTGATGATTACAGTCGACCCGCATACTAAGCAAGAGCGTTTTTCCAAAGTCACCCTTGCATCCTTCCCCTTCGGCCCATGCCTGGCCACTTTCGCTGGCCGCGTTCCGTGGCAAAGTCGATATGGCCTTCTATCTAGGCCTCCTAGATGGGGTTAGAGTGGATGGAGTGGATGGGGTCAGAGGATCGTGCCGCATCGCCGATGCATCGGCGATGCGGCTCGATGCGGAGCCCGATGTTCTCAATGCCGACGTCGCCGATGCATCGCCGACGTCGCTAATACATCGCCGATGCATCGTTGATGCATCGCCGATGTATCCCCGATGTGTCGGCGATGCGGCGCGATCCTCCGAATCCATCGAGGGGACCTTATTTTCTCAGGCCTGTACATCCCTGTCGTGCGCCCCAGGATGGGTGGGCTCCATGGCCAATGCTATGACAGCTCCCTGGCCCCCCTCCCGTCCGCGCACGTGCCTCGCCCGAGGAGCTGAAGAGAGTCGAAGAACAAGAACAAGGCATACAGTCAACCCGCATAGTAAGGATGATCGATTTCCCGAGGGTGCCCTTGCATCCTTGCCTCTTCGGTCATCTCCTCTAGGCCTCCTAGACGGGGTCTGAGTATATGGGGTCGGAGGATCGCGCCGCATCGCCGATTCATCGCCGATGCGGCTCGATGTGGAGCCCGATTTGCTTCACGTCGACGTCGCCGGTGCATCGCCGACGTCGACCATGCATCGCCGGTACATCGCCGATACAGCGCCGATACATCGCCGATGTATCGGCGATGCGGCGCGATCCTCCGACCCCATCTACTCGAACCCCATCTAGGAGGCCTCTAAGTAAGGATGATCGATTTCCCAAGGGTACCACTTCATCCTTGCCTCTTCGGTCATCTTCGGTCCATCCTCAACCACTTTCGACGGCCAACTCCGCTCGAGGAGTCTGGGAAGGGGCGTTCAAGGCCCTTCTGGCATCCTCATCGTGTGCCCTTATTATCATGCGGGTTGACTGTTGAGACAAGCTTGCGGAGCTCGTCGCGGATTTCTCGTAATTATCGGCGCCGAGCCCTCTGGCGGTGCCTCCGCCGCCCCCCTTGGCGCGCGGAGCGCGCCAATGAGGGGTCCCAAGCCCTCGCAGACCTCCGAGAAATTATGTTTATATATGTAGTTGTTTGGTCTTCTGGGGAGGGCTTGTCCGGGCTCACGTAACCGGGGTCAGCCAATGCCTTCTGTCCGAGGCAGGAATTTATACATGACCACAACCTGGAGGATCAGTTTTCGGGGACGTCGGCAGGCGGTGGATATGGACATGTTCGGGCCCCTCTGGGGCCAAACTATATCTATATCCACCGCCCGCTGGGGCACCAGGATTAAGTCGGGCGTGTCCCTCTACAGGGGGAACATCCAAAGATAGTTAAACATAGTATGGGGACTTTTTTTGGGATCAATTTTCATGTTTGAAATATTTGTTGAATACTTTTTCAATTGTTCGCCCACAATCCGCCTATAGGAGGACATGCCCGACCTAACACCAGGACGTCGGTTCCCAGGCGGTGGATCTGTATAAGTCCCCGCCTCGCACTCTGGCTGACCCGAGTTTGGGAGCCACGTGGGGCCGATCCGTTCTCTCCGCCCGCCGCTGGCGCAGGTTGGAGAGAGCTACCGAGCGGCCAGCTGGGCCCCGCGACAGGGCCCTGGCCGGGGTTGTGCTGACCCGGGTTAGTGCGCCCCTGTGTGTGGATTTTGGTCCCCCCCTGGCTGCTCATCGTCGAACTCTTCGACGTCTGAGCGTCCTTCGACGTCTGAGCATCCCTTCTTCCTCTCGGCCGTCCCCCCCTCTCTTTGCCCGCCGGCCAATTCGCTAATTAGTTGGTGCCCCTTTCTAGCTTCTCGCTGGAGCGGAGTTAGCCGCCTCGCCGGTGACGAAAAAGTGTGTGGAGTTTGGTTTTGGTTCCCAGCCCTTCTGTGTTGGGCTCCCCTCTTGATCAGAGCCTTTTGGTCTCCATCCCGTCCTCCTCCCTTCCGTTTCCCTCCTGCCTCTTTCTTCCTGCCTGGGGGTTCTGAGCGCCTAGCTCGCCCCCCACCCCGTGGTGCTGCGAGTCTCTGGGGGGAAGGTGTCCCGGAGGTCTCTCCTTTCTCGGGCTCATGTGGCCCTCCCTGGGCCCCAGGAGCGTCAGAAACGGTTCGCCACGAGCGGATGCCAAGCGTGGACTCTAAACGGTGGGTTTTCTTGTGCTTTCGGTGTGCTACACGTGGTGCAATATGTGTGATATGGTGCGTCCCAGGGCACCACCCAAGTGGCACCAAGGCGAGAACGAGACACCGCAACAATTGAAGCATCATGAGCCTGCGGGCGCACGGGTCTCGAGAGATCGTGGTTTCGCGTCAGGTGACAGGGTCCGTGGTTCTGCGTCAGGGGAGTCGCCAGGAGTCTCCTCATCCTCCCCCTGTTGTTCCCAACCATCCTGTGGTGTTGGGTCTTCGTTTTGAAGGAGACAGCGCCCCGCGTTCCTTCCTCCTCCCGCTGCCCCCTCCCTCCTCCTCGCATCATCGTCATCATCATCATCATCATCATCATCATCATCATCATCATAATCATCATCATCATCATCGTCATCGTCATCGTCATCGTCATCGTCATCGTCATCGTCATCGTCATCGTCATCGTCATCGTCATCGTCATCGTCATCATCATCGTCATCGTCATCATCATCATCATCATCATCATCATCCTCATCCTCATCCTATCCTCATCCTCGTCATCATCATCGTCATCATCATCATCATCATCTCATCATCATTCATCATCTCATCTCATCTCATTCTCATCATCTCATCTCATCTCATCTATCTCATCTCATCTCAATCTCATCTCATCATCTCATCTCATCGCATTCATTCATCTCATCTCATCTCATCTCATCTCATCTCAATCTCATCTCATCTCATCTCATCTCATCATTCATCATCATCATCATCATCATCATCATCATCATCATCATCATCATCATCATCATCACCCTCACGCAGATCGTGGCCCCATAGGAGCTCCACCGAAGGCGCCAGTAGCAAAGTGCGCATGGCGGCCTCGGGCCATTTCGGCACACCCCTCACGAGGATCGTGGCCCCATAGGAGCTCCACCCAAGGCGCCAGTAGCAAAGTGCGCATGGCGGCCTCGGGCCATGTCGGCACACCCCTCACGTGGATCGTGGCCCCATAGGGAGCTCCACCGAAGGCGCCAGCGGCAGGGTTCGCACGGCGGCCTCGGGCCGTTTCGGCACACCCCTCGCCAGGATCGTGGCCACATAGGGAGCTTCACAGAAGGCGCCAGTGGCAGGGTTCGCATGGCGGCCTCGGGCCATTTCGGCGCACCCCTCACGAGGATCGTGGCCCCATAGGGAGCTCCACCGAAGGCCCCCAGTGGCAGGGTTCGCACGGCGGCCTCGGGCCATTTGGGCACACCCCTCACGAGGATCGTGGCCCCATAGGGAGCTCCACCGAAGGCCCCCAGTGGCAGGGTTTCCATGGCGGCCCCGGGCCATTTCGGCACACCCCTCACGAGGATCGTGGCCCCATAGTTGTGCTGCTTCAACAGCCGCGCTTGGGCGTCGTACGTCGCATTCTCGACGTGCACCGACACCTTCTCCCTCATGGCTCTCAAAGCCCTCTCCTGCTTCTGCTCCTCGGTCAGAGGGACGCCGTCCTTGTCGTCGTCGGCGCCCGCGAAGACGGCCACGAACGTGTTCCTGAGCATGTCGGGCTCCGGCGGGAAGCCGTGGCCACATAGGGAGCGCGGGCGAAGATGGTCTTCACAATTGCGGTATTCACAATTGCATATGGTTGGGTCCTTCGCCAGGTTTATCTTGGTGTCCGCTGCGGTCCCGCCCGCTTTCGGGCATGTGGTTGCATCCGTGGCATCGGACAGACGCCACCCACCCCTGCCCTGCAGCCAGAGTGCCTGCTGGACTCGCTCATGCGTGTTACGTGTATGCCTGCAGGTGTTTGTTTGTTGTGGTCGCACACACCAAGGAGATATCTGCAGACGGTCTTGGAATAATGCATATTGTTGAGGGAAAAGAGTGCGGTGAATTCAGAGGGCCGTTTGAAATGTTGTCGAGGGGGCGCGGAAGGTCGGTCATAATAATCGGTTTCGAGACCGCACCGATAGACATCATACTAGTGGTCGCGATGATTCGCTGCTTTCCTGGTGCCCTGTGGTGCCCCATGATTCTCGTTCTCGATTTGGTGCTTTTGGTCGATGCACTACGGCTGGTGGCTTATCGTTCTTGCCCTGGTGCCTTACGGGTGGTGCTCGATTGCTAACGCCACATTATGCCTTTGTGGATCAATTTCTACATCTTGCCCTGGTGCCGGGCGGGGCTCTCTGGCTGGTGCCCCCTGATGTCTTAATGGAGGCGGCTTGCCCTTCTTGGACTGGTGCACTATGGGAGGTGCTCTACGGTTGGTGCCACATGATGCCTTTGCTGTTGCAATTTCTTGGTCTTGCCCTGGTGCCCTAGAAGGTGCTTCTATGGAGTGTGCCCCGTGATGCCTTAGGTGTTGCCGCAAGTGCGCATTCTTGCCCTGGTGCCCCGTGGGCGGTGCTTTGTGGCCGGTGCCCTGAGTGCCTTGACGATTGCGACTTCGTTCTTGCTCTTGTGCCCTAAGAGTGGTGCGCTGCGGTTTATGCGAGCTGACGCCTCAGCTTGCGCGAGTTCTCTGGCATGCCCGGGTATGGTTCAGGCGTTTGATATGTCATTGCCTG